TCTTGATTTATATAATCTGAGGAACAAAGAGATGGGCAATAATCCCCTTCTTCTTTACTCACAATAGTCCAGTAGTCAGTAACATCTAGGATGGGTATATTTATAATGCAATATACTGCAACATGAACCAAACAGCAGTCTTGTGGAACACATCATCTCCACAGTGGGTATTATAAACCTTGATGGTATGGTTATGTTGGCTGATCTAGCTCCTTTCTACACCATACCTCCCAGTAATCAGCCTGCAGGAGATGGTATTACTGCAATTCTCAAGTTCATTAGTATTCTGTGCAAGGCCATACAGTGCAAATTTGTTTGCTGGTCTAGCTCCCTTCCAAAACCAGCTCTCCCGGGAACTGCACTTGCAGGAGATAATAAGATTGGGGTTCCCCATTTGATAAGTGTACCTGAAGAGGCACCACTCACTATGGAGAGGGATTGAATATAGAAGAGATATGTGGCCGTGTAAGGGAAAAGAAAGAAAGAAAAAAGAAAATTACCAATTCACAGTTGAATTATGTGTAGTATGGCTATAGGTTGAATGCAATATCCAGATGAGGAAGAAAGAGCTACATGATGAAGGTTATGGGAGATGAAAGTACTGGAAGTGGTGCACTTGCCAGTCTGGATGATTTATACTAAGGAAAAACATAGATGAGCAGCCATGGAAAAGGTAAGATGTCGATTGTGTTCAGATGACACCTGGAAAACATTTTGGGATTTGGGCAAAAAAGAACAGGAATTAAGTTTTGAGGGATAAATGGGAGAAGGAACAGGGAAAAAACATACCCAAGTCAAAGGCAATTGGTTATGTGTAGAATCGTGATGGGAGAGAGATGATATCCACATGAGAGAGATACAGCCAGATAATGAGCAATGAAGGAATAGGGAGTAGTGTACAATTGGGCCTGAATGATTTCTTCCAAAAGATATCAAAGATGAGCTGCCAAATAATGGTTATATTCAGAAGAGAAGAAACATTGAGGAAACAGCAAAGTTCCATTGATAAGTCTAAGTATGCCAGCATAAGGAGTTAATGAACCCAACTGCTTGTGTGACAGGGGATAGATCATGGGAAATAGAATGGTTCCCGGGAATAAAAGGTTAGGAACATGAACCCTGAAAGGAAGCAGTACATGCCACATAATATCATAGGAAGCGAACCAGACAATGAAGCCAATCGGGATCAGAATGGGAGTGCATGATAGGGGTGGAAGATAAAGAAATGGGTTTGAAAGCCAAATGGCCTTCCCAGGTAACAGAGATCTTATGGAAGAGGTACCAGTCTGGATATGTGACAATATATGAGGAATGGTAAAGGATTCTAGTAACATTAAAAGCATAAATATCCAGTTCACAATGTCCACAACCTAGGAGAAACACAAACACGTAATTAACCACACACCTGATTAACCAGCTGCAAAAATAAAGTGTTAAGTTAAGAAGGTGCTGAAAAGAGTGAATCCAATTTTCTTCTCCATGATTGTATTCATCCTCAGAAACATTCTCATGCTGAAAAAGAAATCACCAGCTGAATGTAGGAATCTAACTCCTTGTGAATTAAGGCCCGTACCTCTTCAGCGCCATGTCCATTCTTGTAGATAATTCAATAAACTTGTGACTAGAAACATCTTATCACTTGTCTGATTCCAGGTAGCTGATCTTCTGAAAGACATCATTATAAATACTCAATCATTTTTCTCTAATAACAAATCTGTACAAGTTTATAATTTACAAATTACCTCAGTCTTCACTTGTACTTCATTATAATTCTCTTCCCACTCTTCTTTCATGACACCAAGCTCACAAATTATCTGTGAAGATCTTTCTTCTAAGGAAACCACTTCTCCTGAAGATAAACAGAATATATTTTATGTATCACTATGGTAACAAATTCTCTACACAATCAATTGACAGATCAACAATAAAAATTGTATATTTATATCCCTTAGTTTTTAAACTTCAGCACATGTTAAGCTCCACATGTTAAGTTCCAGATAGAACATATTTGTAACACTGTTACGTTACCATTTTGGTATTGAGTTGAATTATATTTGTTAACA